CTGTCTGGATAGGACAGGCTGGATGAACAATCTGGAGAAGAAAATAACGGGACTGACAGTTCCGGGGGGACATGGGAGAGGGGGAGGAGGGGGGAAGGGAAGAAGAGGGGATAACTAATAATACATTCTTTTAAAGACATTTTATGCAGATATTTAATAGAGATTCAGGATTGAGTGTGTTACACTCTGTTTTAAAGACTATGCCACAAACTATGTCACACCCAAGCTCACTACAGTTCTTTTTTTGGGGTCATATTCACTAACTAATAAATCAATCAGTGTACTATAACTATATTTTCTAATGATCTATCATGGGCCAGACATACCTTGTTACAACCTTGCAACGTAGGTATTTTAGTCTCATTTCATAGGTGACGAACTTTAGGTTTAGGAAAGGGAATTAGTGCAGTAAAGATCTCATGTCCAATGAGAAGCATACCTTGGCCTTAATTCCTTATATGTGTTTCTAAAGGCTGTGCTCTTTCCCACACTCCGAATAGAGATACTGGATAGTACAAATGGCTACCACGGTCGGCTGCTAACCTAGAGGTGAATTGAAAGAAGGCTAGAAATCACAGCAAAAAGCCAGTCATTGAAAATGATATGGGCACAAACCGACTCTGACACAGTGGCATCATCAAGAGCAACACGCTTTTTTTGTTTGTTTTCAGATGTATTAAACTTGCTTATCCACGTCATAGAACACAAATTCACTTGTACCATTCTACCTTACATCTCATTCTCAATGCCTTGAGTAAATCTATTACTGCTTACATAAAATATATTTTCTTCCCAGCTGTGTTGGCTTTCTCGATGTTGCACTTCTATTTTATAAACCAAGTAACTTGTTTGTGTTTGATTAAAAGCAGTAACAATCTCACGTCAGTCCCTTGTAAATCCTTATAGTTCTCTTATATTACTCTAAAGAAAGGAACTAGGTGCCTGAATTAGATTCCTTTCAATGTTGATAATTCTCCTAAATTTGGCAATTTCTATTTCTACTCAGAACTTCTAATTATCAGAAACTCTGTGTGCTGTCCTTATTTGTATAGAGAAGCTCTTAATTAAAGTAAGTTTAAAATTATTAAGGTGAGAAATCATGGCTACAACTGACTATAGTAAGATATGGGATGAATGAGTGTCAAGGAGTGATGTGTATAAATAAACTCACTTTGTCTGACAATTTTTATAGTTACACAAACATGGACATTAATATTTATGTTTGCTAATTTATAACTTTCTCTTTCTTTCCTTATACTCATCAGCAAGAGGACACTTTAAAATGATGAGGGTCTTTTTGCCTTCTCTTGAGGTAGAAATGAAAATGGATGGGCATATTCCATTATAAGCAAAGTTGGAGTAAGAGGATCATCCAGAGTGAAAGTTCTCTGTGATTTCCTTAATGAGCAGTAGAACAGAGTAAATCTCTGATATTGACACCACCAAGGAATGATGGGAAAAATTACTGTGGGGTGAGACATAGTCTTGGGTCTTAAGCATTTGACATGGATCTTTTGTTTGCTGTATTTCTGGTTTCTTTGAAGATATCATTATGTATGTTCATCTCAGAGATTTGGTTCATGTACAGTCATGTTGACTGTCACTATTTGAACACAATTCTTCTTGTTCTTTATCCATTAATTTTGTGTCAAAATGCAATTTAGGTGTCATCTTAATAAAGTATTTCAGGAATATAATTTCTGTATCCAAAGTAATTATGGAAAGACTTTATCTTAGAGAGTGTTTGTATTAGTCTGGGTGCATTAGAGAAACAAATCCTCAGAAACTCATGTATAAGAGAGGGTTTTATATATAGGTTAAGTGTGCATCAAGAAAACATCCCAACCCAGTGCTACCCAGCCCACAAGTCTAACACCAGTCCACAAAGTCCTCCTCCATCTCACAAAACAGAGGCAATGATGCCGACTGCACGAGGAAAGCTGAGTCAGTGAATGTGCAAGCATCTCAACGCTGTCAGGAGTCTCCACATGGGTGCTCCAGCACCCAGGGCTGCATCTGGGTAGGTCCATGTGGCTTCTCCTTGGGGATGTCTTGCAGGAAGTCAGCCTTGCAAGCTGAAGCAGGGAACTGCTAAAGAAACTGCACCCTGTTGTGACCATCACAAAGAAAGAGACCTGAGAACTAGAAAGGTGAGGCTTACCGAGCCATTTATCTCTCTGCCCTTCAATTAACCGCACATGTGTTTATTGGCCAGGTTGGCACAATAAACTAACTAAATCAGTTCTGTATTAAGAAAAACACTTATCTGCATAAATATTTCATCTACTGAAAGTTAAATTGCTTAAGTGGCATTCTCTAAGTCTTCTCTTACAATCTTATTACAGACACCAGAACATTTCATGGCAGAAATAAATGTTTGTTGATTAATTAAATGAATCTGATGCTGTGCATTGAAATTATGTGGGTACATTTTACCTTTAAATTTTGTGTATTTTCAGGTATCTACAGTACAATAATATAAGAATAATTTCAAACTTGTTTCAATAATTTGTTTACTTATTGGTGTGTTTCTCTATATTGATGCCTCTCAATTAATGAGAGACACTTTGTGTATAGTTATATTTCTATAAAAAGATCCCAGAATGATGGCTTCATTCAATTATACTCTATTTCATCCATATTCGTTTCTCCTTGTGGGAATTCCTGGACTGGAAAATGTACATATATGGCTTGGTTTCCCTTTCTGTGCTGTGTATTTGACAGCTGTCCTTGGAAATATTTGCATACTTTTTGTAATTCAGACTGATAGTAGCCTCCATCAGCCCATGTTCTACTTCTTGGCCATTCTGTCATCAATTGATCTGGGACTATCCACATCAACCATCCCTAAGATGCTTGGAATCTTCTGGCTCAACCTAAGAGGAATCTCCTTTGAGGGCTGTCTCATCCAGATGTTTTTCATTCACCTATGCACTGGCATGGAGTCATCTGTACTTGTGGCCATGGCCTATGATCGTTATGTGGCCATCTGTAACCCTCTTCATTACACATTAGTGCTGACAAACAAGGTGGTATTCATCATTGCGTTAATCATTCTACTAAGACCTTTATCGTTCGCCATACCTTTTGTTCTGCTTATCCTACGGTTGCCATTTTGTGGACATCAAATTATCCTTCATACTTATTGTGAGCATATGGGCATTGCCCGCCTATCCTGTGCAAGCATAAGGTCAACATCATCTATGGCTTATGTGCCATTTCCATCCTGGTATTTGACATCATAGCCATTATCCTCTCCTATGTCCTGATCCTTCGTGCTGTCTTTCGACTCCCTTCCCATGATGCTCGGATCAAAGCTCTCAGCACCTGTGGCTCTCATGTATGTGTCATGTTGGCTTTCTACACACCAGCCTTTTTCTCATTCATGACCCATCGGTTTGGCCACAATGTGCCACGTTACATTCATATCCTTCTTGCCAATTTATATATGGTTATTCCACCTGCTCTCAACCCTGTAATTTATGGTGTCAGAACTAAACAGATTAGAGAATGGGTGCTGAAAATATTTTCCAAGAAATGAAATACAATCTATTACATCAACAAGTCTCTTGTATTATATTCAGAGAGGATCAACTTTGATAAATTGAATGACACTGATTGAAGGAAAACACTCAAAGACACCCCGTACTACCTTGGAGGATGCCTGTCAATGGCAAATTGTTGATATGAGAAAGAAACCTCTCTTTCAGATCTGGAACTTAAAATTAAAGCCTACACCAAATGCACGAATTAAATTATTTTAAAATTTATTATTGTTTGGAGATAATATAAAGAGCCCTTATAGGGGAGTGAATCAACACACTTTTCTCCTTCCAATATGGCTAGTAAATTCCACAGTCATTGTAGCTGAAACTGAAATGAAGTGAGACAAACAAACACAAAGCTAGAAAGTACTCCATCTGGGGGATACGAGAGAAACAGTAGGTCAACTCACTAGCGATGATTCTGAAAGTAATAAAAAAAATCATGTGTGTGGTTATCAATCGTAAAATGTTTACTTTTTACTTCAACATTTTAATGTATAAGGATATGGGGTGCCTGAGAATATTATAATCCTATGAGAAAGTTGGGATTCTTTTCTTATGTAAAGAATCATACAAACTTGATTGTTCTTTAATAAGAACAATCTTATTAAAGGTTTATTCTTTGTGATTTTAAATAAGTGTGTGCTTGTTTATTTGACTGATATCTTTATAGGGAGTCGAGTTGCACAAACCTCTTTGGAAGAAAAGCTTTCTTTTTCTAAATGGTTTATTTCCTGTGTCTATTTTGTTTTATTTACTTTATTTTTTCATAAATCATTTTATTGGGGCTCTTACAGCTCTTATAAAAATTTATACATCAATGGTATCAAGCACATTTGTACATAGGTTGCCATCATCATTTAAAAAACATTTTCATTCATCTTGAGCCCTTGGTATCAGCTTCCCTTTTTTCCCTCCCTCCACTACCTCTCACCCTTGTGACCCCTTGATAAATTATGAATAATTATTGATTGCATAAGTTACACCCTTCACTGTCTCCCTTCACCTGCCTTTCTGTTGTTCGTCCCTCTCGGGGGGTGGGGGTGGGGGTGGGGATGTGTGGTTTATGTCTATCATTGTGATGGTTTCCCCCTTTCTCCCCATTCTCCCCTTTCCCCTAACCTCATGGTATCACTATTCTAATTATTGATCCTGAGAGGTTTATCTGTCCTGGATTCTCTTTGTTGAAAGCTCTTATCTGTATCAATGTACATGCTATGGTCTAGTCAGATATGTGAGGTAGAACGGGGGTCATGTTAGTGAGGGGGAAGGAATCATTTAAGAACTGGAGGAATGTTGTGCATTTTGTCAGGCTATATTGAGCCCTGGCTGTCCCATCCCTTCTTTGTGACCCTTCTGTAAGGGGATTTTCAATTGTTTACAGATAGACTTTGGGTCTCCACTCTGACTCCCCTCATTCACATCCATATGATTGTTTTGGGTCTTCTGATGGCCTTATACCTGATCTGTTAACAGCTCGTGATCACACAGGCTAGTGTGCTTCTTCCGTGTGGGCTTTGTTGCTTTCCTGCTAGATGGCTGCTTGTTTAACTTCAAACACTTAAGAGCCTATATGTCATATCTTCTAATAGCTGGGCATCATCACCTTTCTTCATCACATTTTCTTCTGCACTCATTTTGACTTCAGCAATCCTGTTGGGAAGGTGAGCATCACAGAATGCCAGGTCATTAGAACAAAGTGTTTCTTGAATTGAAGGAGGACTTCAGTAGAAGCCTATAGTCTGTCTGCTACCTTGAAAATTAACATATAAATATATATGCATAGACCTATATCCCTATCATTATATATTAATTCGTTCATATATATACTCACTTATATTTATTCCTCTATAAATGTCTTTTCCCCCTTAGTTCTTTCTTCTATTTTCTTTTACTTTCCTCCTGTCCCAATATCATGTCTGATCTTCATTTGGCTCTAAGTAAATTCTCTCGGATCCATTGCACTTGGTCAAACATCACCAGGTGTTCTACACCCTCCTTGCCACCGACTTTGGATTTCTTGTTGATCCCTTGTCCCTCCGTTGCTGGCTTGACCCTCCCTTTCCAACCCCTTCCCCTCTCCCCTGTTCCTGAGAAACCATCAGTCCCATTGTTTTCTCCTCAGTATTGTTTATCTTTCCTGTCTTATATAGATAGACATGGGAAAATGAACAAGAAAAAAAATGGGCTTATAAATTGTTCCAGGTCTGTCTGCTGACCCTTATGAATGTTTTCCAATCAAGTCTGATGAGATGCCAAGCTCAGCCCTCTGAGTCAGAAGTGTATCTTCAGAATTCCTCAAAGACTTCATTGCTTTGCTCCCCTTGCTGCTCTGTTGTGCACCCTTCTGTGTTTCACCCTGGTGTGTGGGGGTCGGACAGGCACAATTCCTGCACTGTGTCTCCAGTGCTGTCCTCCATAGTGCTGTGGGTCAGTAAGGGGACATCATGTTTCATGGTGGAGCCAACCCTATGGCCTTCTCTGTACCTTGGCTGCTTCAAGCAGGAGTGGCCTCCTTGTGGCTTGGTGGATCAGGATGCAGTCTACACTTTCTCTCTCTCTTTTCCTCTTAGTTTGATCCTGTGTGGTCTGGGCAGACCCATCACTCTCCCTCGGCTGTATCTTCTGTGCTATCCTCTGTAGTTTACTCTTCTGAGAAGGGGGTTGATGTTGCAAACCTCTCTGTTAGTTCAATGCTTCATACTGTTATGTTACCCTCAAGGCATGGTATACCAGGGTGAGGTCTGGTCTCTCTCTCCCTGTCCTATAGTGACATAAAGAGTACCCTCCCCATTGGACAGTTAGTACCCTGTCCCCCCACTATCCACATCCTCTTTTTTTTTTTTTTCCTTTCTTTTCCCTTCTTTCTTGGTTGGCTGCCATATGCATCCCTGGGCTGGGTCTGGCCCCTGCCAGAGAACCTGGGCCTTTCCTGGGAATTGATGCATTTAGTGGCTTTTCTGTGCGCCACTTTTGCTTTTTAAGCTTTCCTCAGTGGACTCCTGTTCACTTGGCCTTTTGTGCTTGGCTTACTTTGCGTAGCATAATTTCCTCCAATTCTTCCCATGTGATGCCTTGCTTCATGTCTTCATCCTTACTTTCTAGGGATGCAAAGTAGTCCATTGTCTGTAGGTACAAGTTTTTAAATCCATTTGTCCATTGGAGGAGATTTAGGTTGTCTCCAACTATTTGTGATTGTGAAGTGCATTGCAAGAACATCGGTGTGTAGATGTCTGGTTGTGGTCTATTTCTTACATCTTCTAGGTATATGCGCAGTAGGGGGATTGCTGGGTCACATGATAGCTCAATTCCTATTTATTTTAGGTACTGCCAAATTGATTTCAATTATGGCTGCACATGCCTTCAGAGTCACCAGGAGTGGATGAGAGTTTCTATCTCTTCCTACATTTGCTGCTTTCTGGTTAGTTAAATTGGGATATCTTTGAGGGTGGAAGGTCGTGTCTCATGGTTGTTTTAATTTGTATTTTCCTTATGGCTAATGATCAGGAACATTTTCTCATATGTTTACTGGTCATTCGGATTTCCGCCTTTGTGAAATCTGTTCAGGTCCTTTGCCCACCTTCTTGATGGGCTATTTGTTTTTGTTTTGTTTTCTTATTGTAGGATGGCAGATATTGTAGATTTTAGTAATAAGGCCTTTGTCTGATGTGTCTTTGATGAAGATGCTATCCCAGTCTAGGGGCTCTCTTATTACTCTTGGCTAATTCTTTCTATGTACACAGGGTTTTTTTTATCCATATATCCCATTTGTCAATCTGTGCTTCCTCTGTGCTTGTATCCTTTGCTATTTCTGATAGCCTATGTAATCCCTGTGCTGAATTTCTTAGGGTTGTCCCAATTCCCTCAATATTGGCCCCAATAGTTTGAGGTTTTACCTGGAGGTCTGTGATCCACCTTGAGTTTATTCTTGTGCAAGGAGGGAGGTAAGTATCTGGTTTCATTTTTCTCCAGGTAGATATCCATTTTTTCCAGCACCACTGGTTGAAGAGGGCATCCACTTCCCATTTGATATTTTTGGGGCCCTTATCAAAGATCAGTTCTGTATACGCTGATGATTTTATTTCTGGGTTGTCAGTTCTTTTCCCTTAGTCTGGATATCTGTCATTATACTGGTACCATATTCTTTTGTCCTCTGTGGCTATAGATTAGGTGCTAAAGTCAGGTAAAGCAAGCCCTCTGACTTTATCCTTCTCCTTAAGGAGTTCTCTACTAATAGTGGACTTCTTCCTTCTCCGGATGAAGTTGGGAGTCAGTTTTTCCAATTCTTAGAAGATAGATGTTGGTCTTTGTATCAGGATAGCATTAAACTTATATAGTGCCTTGGGCAGAATTGATATTAAGTCTTCTGATCCACCAGCATGGAAAATTCTTTCATTTGTGGAGGTCACTCTTGGTTTTTAGTAATGATTTTCTTGTTTTCCTCATAAAAAATCTTCTGGTTTTTTGTTTGTTTGTTTGTTTGGTTTGGTTTGGTTAGGTGTAGTCCTGGCTATTTCAATTTGTGCTTCGCTGTTGTGAAGGGTACTACCTTTTTGATCTCCTGTTATATAGTCTCATTCAATGAACATAGCAGTCAAATAGACCTGTTTATTGATCTTATATCCTGCCATATTCCTCTATTGCTTCCAGCACTCCTCTTGTGGACATTTTGGGGTTTTCCATATATAAAATCATATTATCTGCAAATAATGATAGTTTCACCTTTTTCCCTAGAGGAATAACTTTGATGTCTTTCCTTTGCTTGTGTTGTTAGCTAGGACCTCCAGTCTGATGTTAAATAAAAGTGGGGACAAGAGGCATCCTTATCTGGTCCCCTTTATCAGTGGGATTGTTTTCATCTTCTGTCCATTGACTACCATATTGGCTGTAGGTTTTTCATATATAGCATGTATTTTATTGAGGAAATTTCCTTCCATTCCTATCTTTTTGAGTGTCTTAAACAGGAATATGTGTTGGGTGTTGTCAGATGCTTTTT